CACACACACACACACACACACACACACACACATATATATATATATATATATATATATATATATTCATTTTTAGCTATTTATTTCTACTTTTAAGTATTATATATGATATATATTTATATGTTATACACTAATATATAATCTAAATATATAATACATAAACACATATTTTAAAAATTAAAAATAATTCTTGGTACAAACTAATGAAGGTGGGAGAAATCATCCCTAGTGAAAATTGTCCCTAATATTGGAGTATGGCTGGAGCAAGTGCATGGATGAAATGGTAAATTCTATGCAGTGTGTCTTATTTTGCATTGGTTATAAACTTTATAAATACTTTGAGTGAAGATCATAGCAAGTACTAGACTGCTCTTCACACTGGTAATTTTCAATGATTTAGAAGTACAATGATTTAGTCAGCCACACTGCAATCTTTCTTGCACTATAAGTCTAACACAGGACAATATTTCATTCCCATGACTTCTCAGAGACAAGGCTTTTTTTATAGGCTTCTTTGCTAGCTCACAGAATAACAATCTGACCAAGAAAAACTGAGTTTATTGGAAGAAACTGGTGTAGCTCACAAAATCTAGAAATAACTAAAAGCAGAACCTGAATTGGGCAGGGATCATGGGAATTAGAATTGAACAGTGATCTTAGCCAAATCCTGCTGAAATAAGCCATTCACACGCCATCAACAAGGCTCAGGGCTCCTTGAAAGACATTTGCCTGCCCTGGCCTAGTGGGGGGGTGGTCCACTGTACATCCAGCATGAGTCCTGTGCCTGGAGAATGGCTTCCCTCAGAAGAAATCAAGACACTATTGCTAAAAGATGAGTCTGGGCTAAGCAGCCAAACTAGCAAACAAGTATCTGCTGAGGTTATGTTAATGAAAACAGTTCACCCCAGACACTTAAAACAAGAAGAAGCATCATGTCCTTCCTTATATTTTGCTACCCCATCATGGCTCACGGAGAAATGCAAACAACCAGCTGGATATGCCAGCAGCTGACCTTGCCCTTGTCAAGGCACAAAATGACCATCTGCCATGTATCATTTACTACTGTAACTTTTTACACTATAGAGATAATTTCTTTTTTGCCACCACTCTTTGCCTGTGAGGCAGACTGACACAGTCTGAATTCTAATCTCTACTATTACTAGAAATTTTTCTATCAAATACTTTTTCTCCATTGAAGAGAATTGTCTCCTATTATAGTGATGCTAACCTAATCTCATGGAGTTCATCAGAGAATTTATTTCTGGATGTCTAAAAAAAATGCACAACAACCATTCTTGTTTATCTGGGTTATGTCTTTATCAAAGTGGGTATCTATAGATGAATGACTTCCCTCAACATTTTTTAAGATTTATTTATTTATTATGAATACAATGTTCTGCCTGCATGTATCTCTGATGGTTGTGCGCCACCATGTGGTTTCTGGGAATTGAACTTAGGACCTCTAGAAGACCAGCTAGTGCTCTTAACCATGGAGCCATCTCTCCAGCCCTTCATTCAACATTTAATTCTTCATTGTGTTTCAGAATCTATTGAGTGATAGATATGCTAAGTAGTTATTGATAATAACTCTATATAATATTATATTATAACTTCTGTAACAAAAAAGCTGTGGAAGCAGCAAGGAGAAAGCACTTATTTCCCCCCAAGAGCCAAGCGGTAAGATCAGCTGTGGCAAAGCTATGGTTACAAGAGCTTCCTAATCGTGTGTTTATATGGACTCAATTCTGGAAACAGCCACTGAAAGCTCCTTTGGATAAGTTTCTTCTGATGTTCACAAGCTAACCAATTATGCATATGCTAAGACATGTCTAACATGGATTCATTACATGTGTTTTAAGTTCTTATCCACACATTCTTTTACTGTAAGGTCAAGTGAATAAGAATTAAATTTTGAACTTCAGAATCATGAGGGATTGGTAAGGAATGTTTTCTATTCCACTGAATCTTACATGATCACATTTTCTACTGAGAACATGTTAAAAACAAATATCAACGATGTTTAACTTAATGTTAAACATATGCTCTAATTTTGTCTTCTCTATGTACATCAGATATTTTAAGAAGTTTCAGTACTGTGGATATGCACCACATGTGCGCAGCTGTAAGCCCAACACCGATGGGATTTCATCTTTTGAGAACCTCTTGGCAAGCATCATCCAGAGAGTCTTTGTGTGGGTTGTGTCTGCAGTCACGTGCTTTGGAAACATTTTTGTCATTTGTATGCGACCATACATCAGGTCTGAGAACAAGCTGCACGCCTTGTCCATCATTTCTCTGTGCTGTGAGTATTTCCTGGTTAAAGAGGAACCAGGTTTGAAATGGGCAAAATCATCGCTATGAAGAAATAAATTCTGTGGGGCTGAAGAGATGGCTCAGTGGTAAAGAGCGTACACTGCTCTTGCAGAAGGCCCAGGTTGGGCTCCCAGCACCCATGTGTAGTGGCTCATAACAGCTTGTAACTTCAGCTCTAGGGACTTCAACACCTCTGGCCTCCAAAAATGTAAATAGGGAAATGTTTCCAGATAGTATTAATTTTTTTAAGTTTTAAAAATGTGATTGTAAAGTATTATGTTAAATGGCCAACTTTACTACTCCAGACACTGTTCAAAGCCCTAGTCTAATAATTTTTTTTCATTGCAAGCTATGCTATAAGAGAAATAGAACTTAACAAAATGTTTACAATTTTGTATGGTTAGCTAAAAATTTCTCAGTCAAGTTCAATTTCTCTACTTAAGGCAAGAGGATAACGGCTTTGTTTAAAAATTAGGGTCAATGCTTAGAAAGGAAAAATTAGTTTTCTCCAATGGTGTCTCACGGGGTATATTAACCACATTTCAGAGAAAGCTCCATGCAGGAATAGTTGGCCAACACAAAGCAAACACAGTGGTCATTTTGTAGACCTTTTCCCCATATTGTTTTGTTTTGGCATTATTTTTTGTCTTACTGTTCTTTTGCTCATATATTTTGGGTTGCGTTGAGTTTTTGTGTGGTGTTTCTTGGGGGGGGGTTGCTTGTTTAAAAACACAGAAAGGGAAGGGAGTTAGGGTCTAGAGCAGTTAAGGGAGGGGAGAGCATAAATAGAATCTCTTGTGTAAAAATATTTTCAATTTAAAAAAGCATTTCAAAAAATTAGTATCAGCCTTATTATTTCTACAAGATGTGATTTTAAGGACTTAGGATAGACTATTGAAATGGTAAAAAAAATTCTCAGTTTTTACTTGAAAAGAAAATAATGTCAGAGAACATGATATATATTTATGAAAATGTCATAATGACCAAAATACATTGAAATTCTCAAATAATTATTATTAATATTAATATTAAATTATTGCAATAAAAAGAAAATACATAATGAAGACCATTGTTTTATATGATAAATATACACTAATAAAAAACATTTAAAAGGCAAAAATGCTATGAAGTGTACATACTGAGTGCTAATTAATTTCAAATATAAGAACCTAAAAAGAGACAGAAAAATATAAATATGGAAGAGAGTCAAGAAAAAGCATACTGCCTAGGTGAGCTCAGGTCACTAGCCCTCCTAAATTGTTTTGGCTAAAAGCTATTCATGATTATGCATATCTCCTAAATTTATAGACGTCAAAACTCGTAGTCATTATCAGCAAAACTTCTGGATTAATGTCTCCAGGTTTTAGGTGATACTCTTAGCTTGCTGAGCTGGGAGAACTTCAGTGGAAGAGTGGAACCAAATAATGTCCTCCCTGTCTAAGTCCATAACTGAATGTACTGAACAACCCATTTTATTGATTTGTTTTATCCTGCCAAGTGATGGGGCTAGATGAGACCAAAATAGAGAGGTTCTCTCATCTTATAGACTGACACTGTAAGGAAGACAGAGAGATGATCGTATAATTAACTATAGTCTATTCTTTTTAATGTTTTTATTTTAATTTTATGTGTGTGTGTGTGTGTGTGTGTGTGTGTGTGTGTGTTTGTGTATATGTATGAGTTTTCAAGGAGGCCAGAGGCATCTGATCCCCTGGAGTTGGAGCTACAGGTAGTTAGTTGTAAATTGATTGGCATATTTCTGGGAGTCAAACTCACATCATGTACAAGAACGGTACCCACTCCTAATTGCTTACCGTCTCTCCAGCCCCTAAGAGTCTTCTGTGACAGTGGTTAAAGAAGAGGTTAGTGGGTTTTCATCCAAGTTAGAGATTTGCATGGTACTGGGGGCTGAAGCCAGGGATTCTTCACTGATGCTAAACAAGCATTCTGTTGCCAAGCTACATAACCAACCTATGAATTCTGAAGAGAGCAAAATGTGTCTCCTCTTAATAGCAAAGAAATGTTTTGTGTAAAGATAAGCATACTTTGTGTTTCTCTGAACCTGTAAACTTTGGATTCTTGTAGGTGCTGACTGCCTAATGGGAGTATATTTATTTGTCATCGGAGCCTTTGACCTCAAGTTTCGGGGAGAGTACAACAAATATGCCCAGCCGTGGAAGGAGAGTGCTCATTGTCAGTTCATGGGGTCTCTGGCCATTCTGTCCACAGAAGTATCCGTTTTACTTTTAACATTTCTGACGCTGGAAAAATACATCTGCATTGTGTATCCTTTCCGGTGTTTAAGGCCCCGGAAGAGCAGAACGATCACAACTCTGACTTTCATCTGGGTTATTGGGTTTGTAGTGGCCTTTGCTCCACTCAGCCATAAGGGATTCTTCAAAAACTACTATGGTGCCAACGGAGTGTGCTTTCCTCTCCATTCAGAAGACTCGGGAAATACTGGAGCCCAGATTTATTCAGTGGTGATTTTTCTCGGTAAGAACAACCTTCCTGTCTTCCAACTCTCACTAGAGGAGTTCACAATAGGAAACTCATTTATGCCTTCTACTGTTTATGAACTTTTGTCCTCCTAACCTGCAGCTGGCTATAGGAGTGAACACAATCTGGCAATCAGAATACCCAAGGAGAATTCTTTTCCTCTATTACTTAACCACAAGAGACGATCCGTAATCCATAAGGTCAAGATATCTTTATTGAGATAAATACCAGCCAAACGCAAGCTGGAGCGTGCCTAGGGCAGCCCAGCAGCGAGGCCAGGGAGAAGGGGCTGCCAGGTGCTCTGCAGCCCCATGCTAAGTCATCTTGACGTCACCTTGACCATGCCTGTCTATTTACTATTGTTTCAAATTCCTATGTACAGCATACATACCTTTGGCTTCACCACATCTGTGAAACTCTTCTAAACCAAAAAAAAAAAAAATCTCAAAGAACAGCACAAGGTTTTTAGAATATGAGGAAACATGATTAATATCAGAGAAAAATGATCCATGATATTTATCAAATTTATTTAATATGCTAATTAATGAACCAGGATATTTATCAAATTTATTTAATATGCTAATTTACAATTAAACATATCATCCTTTGTTACTTCAACAACATTTCTGGGTCAAAAGAATTCATGACTTCTGTGTGCCTTAGTAATTCTGAGAAGAGGAAATCAGAAAAAAAAGACTGCATTAAAAGTTAGACGTAATGGTACACATTGGGTTTTTGGTGGTGGTGGTATCTTTTATATTTTTATTGAAAATAGATATTTTATATAATATATTCTGATTATGGTACCCTCCAGCTTCCCTCCCTCCCTACCCACCCAAACTCAAACCCTTTCTTGCTCTTTCCATAGAAAACAGACTTCAAATACTACTAATAATAATAATATTGAATAAAACTAAACCTGAATAGAAGAAAATAAACAAGTGAAGAGAAAAAAAATCCAAAGAAAACAAGCAAGAGTCGGGTGGTGGTGACACACACCTTTAATCCCAGCACTCAGGAGGCAGGTAGTTCTACAGAAGGAGTTCCAGGACAGCCAGGGATACACAGAGAGACCCTGTCTCAAAAACCACAAAAAGAAAGAAAGAAACATAAAATGCACAAGAAACCCGTATAGATGCAGAGACACCCATATTCGTACACAGAGAAATCCCATAAAAACAGGGTGTTTGCCATCCCCACTGGCAATGACAATCCTTCCACCTCCACTTCCACAGTTTCCTGCACCTCGAGGAAATAAATTTGATGGAGATGTCCCATTTAGCACTGAGCGTCCTCAGGTCTCTCCTCTGCATGCTGTCCAATTGTGGGTCTCTGTATTTGCTCCCATCTACTGCAAGAAGAAACTTCTCTGATGAAGGCTGAGCAAGGCACTGATTTATGAGTACACTAGAATATCATTAGGAGTCATTTTATTGTTACAGTTCTTTAACAGAATAGCAATATTTGTTTTTCCCTTTAAGTCCCTGGCCTATCTGGTCTCAGGTCCTTGGCCACCTGAGCAGTGTTGTGCATGGGTTCCATGGCTGGTTATTCTCACAATTTTGTGCCACTATTGCACCAGAGTATCTTGCAGTCAGGTCACCATTGTAGATTGTAAGGTTTGTAGCTTGATTGATGTTTATCTTTCTCCTCTGGTAGTGAGCAGGGTGGCCTCTACTACCATGAATACTCGTCAGTAGGAGGTGAAGGCTCTAGGTAGGCACTAGCACGATTTCTCTGTGTTCAAGGAGATATGTAAGTGTAGTCTTTGGTGATAGGCCCTTACCTTCAGTTTGTGGAGAACAACCAAGAAATAGTCTTAGCAACAGCCTGGGTTGTTTGGGCTTTCTGTGGAGCTCCTTTGACCAACAACTCAACTAGATGTAACCTGTTGTTGGCACTGGAGGTTTCATTTGACAGTGAAAGATGTCCAACTGGGGCTTTCTCTCCCCCATTATTTGGTGATTCCATTTAGATATTTTTCATATATATATATATATATATATATATATATATATATTTAAAATCCTCTACTGTAGTAGGTTTCCATATGACCCCACACTTAATGCTATGAACTTGCCTTTTAGATTTGCCTTCATTGTGTGCCATAGGTTTGGATATGTTGTGTTTTTATTTTCATTCAATTCTAGAAAGGTTTTAATTTCTTTCTTCTGTATTGACCCATTTTTCACTCAAGGGTGAGATGTTCAGTTTCCATGAGTTTGTAAGCTTTCTGTTATTTCTGTGTTCTTGATGTCCATCTTTAATCTGTGGTGGTGAGATAGAATTCAGGGAATTTTTTCAATTTTCTTATATCTTTTGAGACTTGCTTTTTTCAAGAATGTGGTCAGTTTCAGAGAAAGTTCCATGAGCTGCTGAGAAGAATTAATCTTTTGTGCTTGGGTAAAGTGTTCTGTAAATATAGGTTAGGTCCATTTGATTTATGACATAATTTAGCTCTAGCATTTCTCTGTTTAGTTTTTGTCTGGATGACCTATCCGGTGGTGAGAGTGGGGTACTGATGTCACCTATTAGCACTGTATAGGGGTCAATACTTGATTTTAGCTATAATATGGTTTCTTTTGTGAACTTGTTTTTATGCATAGATGTTTAGAATGGCAATGTCTTCTTGGAGGATCTTTCCTTTGATGAGAATGTAATGTCCTTCTCTAGCTCTTTTGATTAGCTTTGGTTTGAAGTCTGTTTTGTTGGATATTGAAATGGCTATACCAGCTTGCTTCATGGGTTTAGTTGCTTGGAATACCTTTTTCCACACTTTGTCTTGAGGCAATATCTATCCTTGATGTTCAAGTGTGTTTCTTGGATGCAGCAGAATGATGGATCCTGTTTTTGTTTTTTTAATCCAATATGTTACTCTGCATCTTTTTATTGAGGGAATTGAGACCATTGATGTTGAAAGCTACCAATGAGCAGTGTTTGTTCATTCCTGTTATTTTGATGTTATGGTGTGGGGTTTTCCCCCTCTTTTGATTTGCTGGTCTGGGATCATTAATTCCTTATGTTTTCTTGGGAGTGGTTACTCTTCCAGTTGAAGTTTTCCTTCTAGTGCCTTCTCCAGAGGCAGATTTGTAGATAAATAAATTTGCTTTTATTGTGGAGTGTTTTCCTTCATCTGTTGTGATTGAAAGTTTTGCTGGGTATAGTAATCTGGGATGGCATCTGTGGTCATCTCTTAGTTCGTAAAACATCCATTTATGCCCTTCTGGCTTTTAGAGTCTCCACCTAGGTATTGATCTCAGTCTTGTCTGTGATGGGTGAGTGCTCCATTCCTTGGTTTCTGTTGTCCTCTCTGGACCTTAGGAAGAGTGTGGTAGCTGTGGGTTGCCTTCTAGGGAGTGCTTTTGAGTCCCTGTCGGGTGTGGCCACTGGGAGTACCAGGTTAAATGTATTTTTTAGGTTTGAGAACTGACATAAAGGAAGGGATATGGGCTGTAAGGGAGATGGAACTGAAAAGGTCTACAAGAGGGAGGAAAGTTGGGTCTGCTGCAAGGTTTGAAGGAATTACCAGAGAGTGGAATCAGTGGGGGAGGACAGGCCCTTGCAGGTTGTCTGCTACAGAACTGGGGATGAGACTAGGGAATTGGAATTGAAGGACAGAAAGGAGAATGAAGATTGATTCTCAGTGGCCAGTATGTTCCCAGGTAGAGAGTGCTCTGAGTATTGGTGGGTGACACAAAGGGATGGGGTGAAGGAGGAAGGCTGGGTCCAGAGGATCTGCAGGGTCCCTGGGGAATGGAGGCAGACCTGTGAGTGGTCTGTGACAGCAATGGGAATGAGACCTTGGAAGGAGGCCTGGCACGCATTTGTAATCTGAGGCAGGAGGACTGTAAGTTAGTGTCCAGCCTAGGCTTCCTAGTCCAGTTGAAGGCTAGTCTGAACTCTACAGTAAGGCCCTGTCACAAAGTGAATGTGTGAATAAATAAATAAGTACCACTTTATGGGCTCTGTGGTCTTTAAAAGTCTAAGGCATGTTTTATCTGTTCTTCCTAAGAGAATGCTAACATACACTATCAATATTCTTCATGGTCTACACAGGTATTAACCTGGTGGCATTTATCATCATCGTGTTCTCCTATGGCAGCATGTTTTACAGTGTCCATCAGAGTGCCATAACAGCAGCTGAAATACAGAAGCAAGTCAAGAGGGAGATGATCCTCGCCAAGCGCTTTTTCTTGATTGTGTTCACTGACGCATTATGCTGGATTCCCATTTTTATTCTGAAATTTCTTTCACTGCTTCAGGTGGAAATACCAGGTACAATCTTTTCCTGGAAAGAATAAATCTGCGCAGTGTTATTCTAAGAAAGACAACACTCTTTTTTTTTTTTTTTTTTTTTTTTGGTTTTTCAAGACAGGGTTTTTTTCTGTGTAGCTTTGGAGCCCTCTTGGCACTCACTCTGGAGACCAGGCTGGCCTCAAACTCACAGAGATCTGCCTGCCTCTGCCTCCCGAGTGCTGGGATTAAAGGCGTGTACTACCAATGCCTGGCTGACAACACTCTTAACACTTAACTTGTTTCAAGAATTACTGGTCAGAATAATGGAGACTCTGACTCCATCATCAAGGAAGTACTTCCTGAGAGAAACTGTTCAGTTCTTTCCATAAATGTTTAGTGCCACAAAAAGCAAAGAGCAATGGTCAAAATAAATGGTATGCAGTGCTGAAACTGGTTGCCTGCCTAAGATGACCATGAAGAAAAACAAGCTGAAGTAGTTACCAAACCATGAATTCATTTTTTTTAGAACATAAGAAATGTTCCTCCCCTACAATACATCTGGTAGAGAACACTGCTCCAGAGTATGATATAATAGAAAACAACACAGGCTTTTAAAATAGTGTACATCACATGCATCACAGTGGCTGTTATGTTGAGAGAGAGAAAATATGAATATGTTGGTGAGGAGGAGAAATTTGACACTGTGCATTGACAGCAGGACTTGAACACAGTGTGGGTATAGTGAAAAAGTATGTCAGCAAGTGCAAAATATTAGATATAGAATTGCCATACGTTCCAGTCATCCCACTTCTGAATAAAAATCCATGAGAATTGAAAGCCAAAACTAAAACAGATAAACTGCACACCTATGTTCACAGCAGCATTAGTCACAATAGCCCAAAGCAAGAAGCAGCACAGTGTCTACAGACACACAGATGTATCAAAAATACACATGGGTCATTATTCAGCTTTATAAAGAAAGGAAGTTTTTTTTTTTTTTTTTTTTTTTTTTTTATTTATATTTTTGTCGTGTGTGTGTGTGTGTGTGTGTGTGTGTGTACACACATGTGGAAGTCAGGGGACAATCTTCTGGAGCCAATTCTCCCCTTTCACCATGTGGGCATCCAACTCAGGTTATCAGGCTTGGTAGCAAGAACCTCTACCCACTGAGCCTTCTCATCATCCCTCAGAAGGAAATTCTGGCACATGCTACATGATACATGAGTCTTGAAAGTGTCATGTTGAGTAAATAACCCTGACACAAAAGGTGCATGTGTTTTATGATTCATCTTACATAAGACTCGTGGAATAGTCAATTTCATAGACAAAGCATAGGGACTGGGAAGGGGAGCATGGGAGGTGTCATGGGAAGATGAGAACACTGAGGCTGTCAGCAGTGAGGGATGCTCAACAATGTAGCTGTACTTAGTGCCACAGAGCTGCACATTTTAAAAAAAAGGTTAAAGTGCACATTTTATGTCACACACATCTTATCACAAAAATATGCAAGTATCCCTTGCTGACTGCATATGCATTTTTTATATTTATATATGTGCAACTTATTTTGTTTGATCCCATAGGTGGTGATAATAGAATCTGACAGGTTATGAAGGATCAGAGGGACAATAGCATCAGTTCCATCATAACAAAAGCCTGAGTATTTGGTAGTTCTATATATGCAAAGGTGATTTTTAAGACAGGTTTAGAAGTGCTATAGCGATGCTCAGCTCAGCAGGAAGAGCCTTTGCTGTTCTCCCAGGGGATGGGAGTTAAGTTCCCAGTGCCCACATGGGGAGGCCTACAGCCACCTGTAACCCCAACTCCCAGGTAACCCCAACTCCCGCTTCTGACCTCTTTGGGACCCCACACACATATGCATCTACACTGACAGACACAAATACATACAAGTCAAAATTAATATTTAAAACAAGATGGATTTAGTCAAATATGTTTGGGGATTTTGTTTTTTGTTTTATTTTGCTTTACTTTAGGTTTTGGGGTTGTTTGTTTGTGATACTAGGGACTGAACCTAGGGACTCATACTAGGCAAGTACTCCACCATAGAATTACATCCCTAGACCTTTTCTCCCACTTTTTCTTTATTTTGAGGTACAGTCTTGCTAAGTTGCTTCATTCTTCTATAGGCCAGAATGGCCATGTACTTGAGATCCTCTTGTCTTGGCTTCTATTAGTTGGGCTTTTAGACCTGTGCCACTATCTACTCAAAGACATTTCACTGAAATAAATTTGTTTAGAAGCCTAAAAATGTTGTGGACTGGGGAGCTGGCTCAGTTAAAAGGTACTTGCCACACAAACAGGAGAATAGGTTCCCCAGCAACCACATAGAAAGCAAAGTGTGTAGTAGGACATCTGTAACCCAGTGCTAGGAAGAGGAAAGGATAAGGGAATCCCAGGAGCTCACTGGCCAGCCAGGCTTAGCTCATTAGGTGACATTTTGTGACAGGACATAATGTGGAGAACAATGACCTGACATTGACCTCTGACCTCCACATGTATGAGCACATATGTGCACATATATTTACATGTATCACACACACACAATGCATAGTGTGCTAGTCTTAAAATGTGTGCCTATTTTTAAAAGAAAATAACAAGGCCTGGGAGCAGTTGAGCACTTGCCTAGCAGGTACAATCCTAGCAGTGCCACAAAGAAAAGCAGAAGAAAACCAAATAAATTGCAAAAAAGAATTTAATTCAAGATAAATCTACATATTCTGAGAAATACTACATGTACTTCCTATTAATTAAAACATTTGTACTGGGTAGTGGTGGCACACAGCTTTAATCCCAGCCTTGGGAGGCAGAGGCATGTGGATCTCTATGAGTTGGAGTCCAGCCTGGTCTACAGAGTGACTTCCAGGACAGGCTCCAAAGCTACACACAGAGAAACCTTGCCTTGAAAAAGAAAAAAGAAAAAAAAAAAACATTTGCAAAGGATGACAAATGTTAGACAACATGTTTTTTCTTTAATAGATTTTTGTTGGCACTCCGATGTTTTCAGGAAATCCACTCAGAAAGAGCCCCATACCCTCACAGCACTGGCATTCCCTTAAACACTGACACTACAGAAAGACAGCCTGAGAATACCAGAGACTTGATGTTTAATGTCACATCAAAGAAAGGGTGGCTGAGAATGAGTGACACAAGAGATGCCTTATACATCTATTAACACTCAGATTTTTCACTTTGTCTCTTCCAGATACTATCAGCTCTTGGGTGGTGATTTTTATTCTGCCTATCAACAGTGCTTTGAACCCAATTATCTATACTTTGACCACCAGACCTTTCAAGGAAATGATCCACCAACTCTGGTACAACTACAGACAAAGAAGGTCTATTGACAGAAAAGGGACTCAGAAGGCATATGCTCCGTCATTCATCTGGGCGGAAATGTGGCCCTTGCAGGAGACTCCCACTGAGTTCATGAAGCCAGTGGTTTTCACAGACCCCTGTGATCTGTCACTAGTTTCTCAGTCATCTAGACTCAATTCTTACTCATAACTGGCTCTGGAAAACATTGATTCTCAGAGAATACTGTGAAGTGCTTCTGGAGGGATTTGCTGATATGAAGTAAATACCACAAAAGGTGTAACTTATGGTTAAGACAAGTTCACTTACAGTGACACAAGGCAGGGAAAGGTAGCTGGTGTTCATACAAAGAGAAATAATTACACTGACAATGTGTGCATGTATATTAGTACATATTTGCATAGGAAATGAAGGAAATCTATTTCTAGCATGCATTTATGCACACTGCATGGAGATAAAGTGCTGGACACACACACAATATAAAGTCTTTATAATCTTCATATTGTGTTTAACAACAAAACCAAATTCTATCTACAGCTCCTAGATTCCTCTGTTGTGCATATCAGCAAACATAAGACCCATAGACATTTTAAAATTAAAGTCTAAAGTTTTATAATGCTCAAAAATAACAGCATCAGGTAAAATGTGTGGAGCCAGTGAGAAGCTCAGAAGATGAAAGTGGTCACTATACAAGCATGCTGGCCTGAGCTCAATATCTGGATCCCATGAAAAGGTGGAAGGAGAGAACAGACTCTGGGAAATTGTCCTTTGACCTCGACTTGTGTGACATGGCATGTGTGTCCACACATGCACATCACACACACAACACACATACACATGGTAAAAGCCCTATAGAAACTAAGAATAGAAGGGACAAATGCCAGCATATTAAAGGTTATATAAAGCAAAGCTATAGCTGACTTAACTAAATGGGAAGTGAATGAAGGCACTTCCTCTAAAGTAGGGAATGAGATAAGAGTGCTAATCAGGGGACCCACAAGTGTCATGGGTGGCAGGAAAACCATCTGCCTGAGGTGAAGAATAAAACTCAGCACCAAGTTTTCAGATGCTGGGCCAGAACTTCCACAGTCTGAACTTTTTTATTTTTCTTACACAGTTAAGCACAGTAAAACTTTGGAAAGAGGTTTCCATGTGACAGTGATCACAACAAAGCTTGAGGCATAGCTACTCAGAAACTCCCAAACAAAGTAGCAAAGCACCTGTGACCTTTACAATGGTTTGATGATAAACAGTGCTCCCAGCTAGGGTCTAAGGAGGAAGGAGTTGTTATAAGCATGAGGATAGATTCTATTGGTAGAGGATGCAGAGTACATGGGACCTCTTTCATGAGGATGGGTTCTAGTCACTGAGAGACAAAGCTCAGGATTAGAACCTAAACAATGCCCAGGATTTGGGGGATGTGGGATGGGTGTAGATTCAGGAAGACTAGCTTTATAGAATAGTAAAAATATCACCAAGTTGTCAAGACAACATTCACTCCAGCCTTCCGGTGACCAAGTGTCAGTCATTTTCTTCCTTTGAAGAAAATAGGCCCCTGTGTTTAACAGTTCTGGTTCCTCCAATGTCATTTTTAAGCTGTGCTTTCTATAAGTGCCCACTTACAGAATTCTTATTCAGTATGCTGTTCAAAGTCTTAGCTTGAGAAAGAATAAAAAGAAACAAAACGGACACAAATATGAAAGGGAGAAATATATACTTATTGTAGACAGCTCAAACTGACATTTAAAAGACCCTAAATACTCCATCAGAAAGCTCCTAGATCTCAAAGTTTTCTGTATAGTATTCCTAAAAATAGAACTACCATGTGACCTAGTTAATCAATTCATGGGTGTACACCCAATGTACTGTGTTAATACTGTTAACACACACACAAAAAAAGGGGGGCGGGAAAGAGCCTAGATGTTCATTGAAAGAAAAAACTAATTTACATATTTACAAAAATTCAGTAGCCTTCCTATATATCTATAAGAAACTTCATTTGAATTGAAGCAAGTTCATTGTGGGTATATAGGAAAACTACTGGCTTTGCGTTTGTTTTGCATTCTGTTTGTTAACATGGCAATTTCCAATTACATCCATTTTTCTGAAAATGTCATTTTCTTTTTCTTGATGACTGAATAAAGTTCTATTATGTATATGTTAAATAAGCCAGACTCAAAAGGCAAATACCTATGTTTTCTCTCATATCAGTGTGTGTGTGTGTGTGTGTGTGTAAGTATATGTGAAATGAAACTACAAAAGGAACCATGAGAAGGAAGAAATAATGAGTAAGGGACAGGGAAGAGAGTTGGGAAATAGTATTTGTGTGGAGTTAGGGCACAAAGGCTGGCCGCATGAGAAATGAAAACAGTGTTCATGTGCATGAAAATGTCATTTAAACTCATTATTTTGCATGTTAATATAAAAATAACTTTCAAAACTCTTAGAAGAAAATACAAGGATAATTCTTTAAGATTTGGAATTTTGTGAGGGATTCTTAGTGATGCAAAAATGAAAACAAAAAAAGGGGAAAAATGGCTTCATCTAAGTTCAAACCTCTGGGCATAAAGGAAGTAAACTGGGTTGGGAGTACAACAAACCCTTGTTACTTTTCCAGAGGACCCAAATATCACTCCATGTACTCTCATTGGTCAGCTCACAACCACCTGTAAGTCCAGGTCCAGGGGGTCTGACACACTCTTCTGGCTTCCTTAGACACTGTACTCATGTACATAAACCCACACTTAGACACACACATACCACACACACACACACACACACACACACACACACACACACAAAATGGCAACCACTGTGGGGAAATTTGGCCGTTCTTCAAGACACAAATTTAAAATAGAAGTTACCATATGACCTAGCCATTTCACTATGAGATACAAATAAATATTTGCGCACAATCCAAAAGCAGATAGAACTCTCTTGAGGGTCTTTTCCTCTATTTGGCCTTCTCCTGTTTAGATGACATTCACCACCTTACCTCGAACATGATTTTCTTAATCTTTAAAAACTTCCCTCATCCTGGTAGGCTCCTGTCATACGAGCACTTGGGAGGCAGAAGCAGGTTGAGGAGTCCATGGCCAGCTGTACATACAGAGAATTTGAAGCTACCTGGGATACATGAGACCCTATTTTAAAAATCAATTAATTTCAAGGGCTGGGTAACATACCCAAGTCCCTAGTTTGATCCCTGCTTCACACGTATACACACACACATGAATACACACAAAAAAAGGGAAGACCCTTAAACCTTATCCATACTTACTCTTACTGAAGAAAAGCCAGAATGTTGGACCAACTATCTGGGCACCTGTGGCACCACTGCACATGAGGAGAGTTCAAGGACAGACTGAACTTTAATGTCTCTGGAAGCTTCTGGTGTAGTACAAGCAAGCATTAATAATTTGATGTCATAGGATATTGAAGGTTTTAAGATTTCTGAGCAAGAGTGTTCACCTTGCATGGGTGTATGTGCACCACCTTCATCCCTAGTGCCCAAAGAAGCCAGAAGAGGGTGTCAGGTCATCTGGAACCAGAGCCACCATGCGAGTGTTGGTACTGAACCTAGAGCCTCTGCAAGAGCAGCAAGTGTTTTTAACCGCTGAGCCATCTTCTCCAGTCCTGGGAAACTTGTTTTAACCTCATCTTCCATTTCCTGCTCTGAGCACAGATACCACAGATGAGTTTATATAAAATTATGCTCCCAAGTTCTAACCCAGTGCCTAATACATAGGTGGTTCATGTCACATCAATGAGAATACTCAATTTTCCTCTGAAGTTTGTAATGAGCTACTTGCCAGGTCAAAAAGTATCTTAGGTCTTTAAGAAAAAGATTCTCAGCCGGGCATTGGTGGCACAGCCTTTAATCCCAGCACTCAGGAGGCAGAGACAGGCGGATCTCTCTGAGTTTGAGGCCAGCCTGGTCTACAGATCAAGTGCCAGGATAGGCTCCAAAGCCACAGTGAAACCCTATCTCGGAAAAAAAAAAAAAAAAAAAAAAAAAAAAGATTCTCCTCAAGCTTTCTCACAAAATAACACAAAAAATTTATAAAAGGGGATAATTTTTTAGTCCTAGCACTTGGGAAGTGAAGGCAAGGTAGAAATTCAAGGTCATTTTAGGCTTTGTAGCAACTTCAAGTTCAATCTAGGCTAATTTTAAGACCTTGTCTCAAAAAACAAAATACCTGTATGGTGTCTTAGTTAGGGTTTCTATTGCTGTGACGAAACACCATGACCAAAAAGCTTGTTGGGGAGGAAAGGGTTTATTTGACTTACACTTCTATATCACTGCACATTATTGAAGGAAGTCAGGACAGGAACTTTGACAGGGCAGGAACCTGGAGGCAGGAACTGATGCAGAGGCCATGGAGGAGAGCTGTTTACTGTCTTGCTCAGCCTGCTCTCTTATAAAACACAGGACCACCAGCCCACAATGTGATGCCCTCCCCCATCAATTGCTAATTAAGAAAACGACTTACAGCTGATTTTTCTCAATTTCGGCTCCCTCCTTTTATGTCGAAATAAAGAGTAGCCAGCACATATGGAAAATATAAAAACACAAATTGAGGGCCCAAAGGGTGCTTGCTTAATATATATAAGGCCCTGGGCTCAGTCCTCATTGTGATTTGGGTAGCATGGGATACAAATCAACAATTATTTAAAACCATAGAATCACAAATTAACAAAAAATGAACACTTCTAAGGCAGTGGCTGTGGAGAGAAAAACAAGGGGACGGGTATAAGAGGTAGCAAAGTAAAGGTCCAGTAGTCTAACATTTAAGAGGGTTAGGTAACTAGAAAAGATCTAAAAAACAACAAAAAAAAGTAAATACTAACTCTGCCTGGTAGGAATACACGGGAATTTTTTAAATCATTCACCATTTCTGTATGGTTGAACTACCTCATACAGTCTTAAATAATAACCAAAGGAAACAGAAATTTACTTGAAATACATTTATTTTTATACATTTTTAAATTGCAATTCTCAGAATATATAAGTATTTCTCTTATACGGGAATAAGTATCTCTTTGGTACAAAAATTACACCATACATGTTTGTGATCTTAACTAAAAAGAATTAAAAAAATCATTAACTATGACTATGTTGAAACTAGTCTTTGTCCATCTGTTTGTCCCCTATCACAGCTTCACTGTGAGACTTAAGAGAAATTTGTTTACATCACTGTATCTACACAGACATCACATCAAAGATACTTAAAGGTCATATGTATCAAGGTAGTACATGGCTTGATAACAGATGGCACAAATTACATAAAATACAGCACAGGTAAATTAGAACCCTAACAGTAAGGTCAACTGATATGAAACCCATTGAAACAGTTAAATTTGATACACTGGAAACAAACAAATTTTAGAATAATGTAAATAACTTGTAAAGTTCCATTAGTGCCATATAGCCATAAATTTGATAAGGTATTTCAAAGATAGCAATCAGACATGTAGAACACCAACAAGAAAGATATTAACTATGAAAGAAGCTAACTATAAAAAATAGACAAAAGTATGTATTCTATAAAAGTTTCCATTTTATGAAGTAAAAGCTTTTTAAAAATGGGACCACAGAATGGGAAAAATATTTTTTAAAAGTCATCATTAAGATTCAAAAGCCTATACTGGGTATGGTATTGAACACCAGTAGTCCTGCCGTCCAAAGAGACTAAGACAAGAAGCCTGGGCTTCACAGCGAGATTGTCTCAAGACAGAAAAAAACTCAAATTCCCACAAAAAAAAAAAAAAGAATACTTTTCCTTCAAGCTAACGAAGTTTAGATTCAAAGAAACAATTAGTCTTCATCCTGGAAAATAGGAAGCAAATGTAGCTTCTAATTACACTTATCAAATCTTAGTCACGGACACTGAGTATTGTGTGACATGGCTTTGGGTGCTGAGATAAGGAAGTAAATAAAGCGCCATCACTGGCTTCAGAGTTGGTGTCCTAGAGCTGGACCCACTACCTGAAGTCATCAACTGCTTTAGGGAACAAACCAAGCTCAACTCCAAACTCAGCCAACCTTGGCGTCTTCTCAAAAACCAAATAATGATCTGATTGCACTGAGGCACTAATAAAATCCATTTCTTACTGATGGAATTAGCTCCCATAAAGGAGTCTGCAAAAGTGTAGAGGGCAGAAAGTATTTAAGGTAAACACTGACCTAACAGAGAAAAGAAAACAAACAAGCCTTCAGTATTCTGCTCTCTCAGAAGTTAAGAATACCAAGAAAAATTTCATTCTCAGTCTAAATGTCTAGAGACAGGCAGCCCCATAAATGTGGTCCATGTGCAAATATCTTATGTGTGAGTCATTAACCAACCACATCTGCAAGTCAGTTGTCGGGTTTCAAAGAATCATAGCCTTCTTTCAGGAGGTCCCGCCACGTCTTAAGGAAGCGTGCATTTTCTGTACATTTCAGGGCAAGCTCTTCCACCTGAGCGGATACCGCAGATGTGGCTTCAAGAAGTTTAGTTAATGAAAATGCTGCCTGCAATTTAAAGAAAGAAAAGTGAAATGGGTTTGTTTGTGGTCCTAGGAACAAAACCCAGAGCCTCCACCATTGGGGTACACCCTAAATCCCACACATGCTTATTTTTTAAATTCCTATCTAATTTAGATGAGAAGTTTAACTTCTCGTCGTCTAAAAATAGCTTAAAATCTCCAATCAAATGATCATGTATTTTTCTTTGAGAGAGAGAGAGAGAGAGAGAGAGAGAGAGAGAATTTTCAAACAAGAATACTACTATTTCTTGAACCCAAACCATCAGAGCAGGGCAGGCACATAGTTCTTTCCCTGAGCTACACTCATAGCCTTTATTTTTTTTTCATTATGTAACTTGAGGCAACATATCTGCCATAAAAATACTCATTGCACGTGACACATGGCAAGTCATTGTTTTTAAAGGAAAACACACCCAACTCTCATGTATTTCACCAAGGCAACTTGGAAAGCTCTTGACTAGACGTGACAACCATCTAAAAGACTTCCTTATAAACCACTCTTGCTGATAATTAGGTAACAAAATCACTGTTCCAGTATTTTTACCTATGAATACTTTTTTTTGAATACAAAAAGATGTGAAATCGAAGACCTGATACTCTGAACTGACAGAACATCTAAAATTACACACACAGCTATGAAAAACTCACTTTTAAATCAAATGGTTTCTTCATTAGAGATATAAAATAGCACTTTTTTTGGACATGACATAGGTACTTGGTCTACACATTTATTTGTAACCAGTATTGTTTCAAAAAAAAACAAAACAAACAAACAAACAAAAACCCTGGAGCAGCACTTCAGCCATCTCTTTAAAAAAATCAAAAACTTGTAGCTCAGTTCCCAGTTTCCAATCTTCGCCGGGCTGTCCTTCCAAAAAGCTCTCCCAGGAAGGTTACCCGCTAACTGCTACATACTTCATTTGGCTCGTCGTCCTCTCAAGAGTCCCTAGAAAGTGAAACTGACACCCTCCAACCCCCTCAGCGGTACGCGTGTTGAGGTCGGGTGGAGATTTCTGGGAATTCGAGATTGTACAACAACTTTACAAAGTGTTTGCACTGCCGGAATCAGTGAGGCGTCCTGTCTAATCCATCAGGGAAGCCGATGACCTCAGCGGCCGGCTGTGATTAGCCCTGGTCCACGTTAAGTCCCACCCAGAACGAGTCTGCGACACACAATAGTATCACCAGCTGGCTCTAGGCTGGTGGCAAGCTCAAGTCCCTCCGAAAGAGCCAATGGGCAGGCAAGGATGCTATGACTGCCCAAAGCACTCTGAGAGATGCAACGGGAGGCGGAGAGCTGACCCCGATGGCGATGCTGAGGGGACAGCAGCGGGAGAAGGTCAGAAAGGAGCGGGCGGACAGAGCAGAGGCTAGCCCTCAACTCTCTGGCCAAGAATCGCAGGCAGGAGCACCCGGGCTACAAGCTGCGACCCGGCCCCGGCGACACTCACGTCTCCGATCTGCAGCTCCACTTGCTCCAGAGGGTCCACCGTTGGGGCGTGGGTTCGACTCGGACTCCGCCAGCCCAAACTCACTGGCATGCTGAGAGACGACGAAGAGGCGCCTGAAGACGGAGACGAGGGAGGCGGCGGCGGCGGCGAAGCCCGGAATTCCTCGGGGTCAGCCATGGGGCTGGGCCGGGGCCGCCGAGCCGGACCAAGTAACCGAACCCACACCAACTGCCTTTCAACAGCTCGCGCCCAAAGCCCATAGGCTCCGCCTCCTCCCACACGGGGTCCCGCCCCATCTTCTCGTAGGTCTCAACCCTGTACCACAAGGACTTTTCATTTTCCCAGACAGCCAATCAGATGTGAAGCCAGTCGTCACCCCGTTCCTGCGCACACCTTCCGGTCGGCTCGCAGGACGCTGGAGCTGGACACTACAACTCCCAGAATGCTGAGCGAATTGTCCCCGCTATGCTTGCAACGCGCGTGCGCTCAGTCTGGGGGCGGAGCCTGTAGACCTCTTCCGCACACTCGGTTCCTGGATAAGGGAGGATGGCTGGGAAATGGAGTCTTCTGACTTTTTTTTTGCTGATACGTGACCCGGAAACCTTATTGGCCGTCGCGTCCTCCGCGGCGCCGGCGCAAAGCAGAAGAGAGGCGGGCACGCCGCGATGCAAGGGCGGTCGGCGCAGCCCAGGGACTGACTTCAGCCGGGCAGTCGGGGCTTCTTGGCAGGTGATGGCGCCCCCCGTGGCCTGAAAGTCCAGCGCCCTCGGCAAGCGGCAGACAGGCCTCTCTCCGTGTGTCTTTGTCAAGTCTCCGGGCTACTTTGAACATGCTGGTGCGGCTAGCCAAGCTGTCCTGCCCTGGTGAGACAGAACTCCTGGTGGGGACAGACAGATCAAGATGGATAAGTTGGGGCATACCTGGGGAACTGCAAGCACCTCTCTCCTTATCTGCTTCTTCGGCTAAACTGGAGCAGAGATCAATGCTGTCAGCGCCTGTTGCTGGACCCTGACTTCCCGTCCTTGACATTGTCCCAGTCGGCAAAGTTAACTTCTAGGTTAAAGGTCATGAGCGCAGGAAAAATGTCAACACTCCACTCCTCTGTGGAGTCCTCCCAAATCCCGGTCCTAATCTTTATCCCAAGGCTCAGGTAGTATCTGCTGCCTTGTTAGGAAAGGGAAAGAAAGGAAAACTTGTGTGGGATTTCTTCTTGACTCTGACCTGACTTTCGTCTTTGTAGCCATTCTAGTCCAGTCTTTATTATTATTATTATTATTATTATTATTATTATTATTATTATTATTATTATTATTATTAGTTTTTCGAGACAGGGTTTCTCTGTGTAGCTTTGGAGCCTATCCTGGCACTCGCTCTGGAGACCAGGCTGGCCTCGAACTTACAGAGATCAGCCTGCCTCTGCCTCCCAAGTGCTGGGACTAAAGGCGTGCGCCACCAACGCCCGGCTTCTGGTCCAGTCTTAATGTGAATTCTGAGCTGTCATATCGTGTTAACCCATGTGCTGCCCGTGTCACCAGTTGTGTCTGGAGCTCCAAAGTTTTCTGCATTATTCTCAGTTAACTCCAGGCGCTTCTATTATGAGTGCTTCTTAAAGCGGTTGGATTTTTTTTTTTAATTTTACTTAAAAACAACCCCTAATTCAAACGGAAGTTTAGAGGCTCTTGAATTCTGTTGTAACTGGCTTAATATAAATCTTTACTGAATTAAGATTTGGCTGTGGAATTTTTAAACAAGGATACCAAGCATCTATTATTACACTCAGGGTATATTCTGTTTTGAGTGCCATCAATGTAGTAGATGCTGTCTTTTTTTTTGGTTTTTGGTTTTTCGAGATAGGGTTTCTCTGGAGCTTTGGAGGCTGTCCTGAATCTCGTGCAATAGACCAGGTTGGCCTCGAACTCACAGAGATCCGTCTGTCTCTGCCTCCGGAGTGAGGGGACTAAAGGCATGCACCACCGTACAGCCTAATTTAATTGCAGTACAGTCTTGAGACTTGTCTTTGGATGCTAATTTGTTACAGTTTCTTAGCGCAGTTTAGCACTAGTGACAACAACTAAGTGGACGTGAGTGTGTGGTGTGTATGGCTGATCGCTTGCAGTGGACTCTGACTTTGCTTCTCTACCATACCTCAGTCTCTGTGCCTAAATGTTCAGATGCCGAGAGATGCCAGGCTTGTTTTAGCAAAGGAGTAGAGGTTATGCTTTTTTTAAAGTCCCTGGTGGAAATCAGAGGTCATGGTTTCAGCTGTTCTCAAGCAAATTAGTAGCTGTACAAATAATAGAATTAAAGTATGTTATATTCCACTCACTAACTTTCAGAAATAAATGATAGCTTGTATATGCTAAACTACAGAATAATACTTTTTAAATGATAGTATATTTAAGCTCAAACTAAATTTGTATGTAATATTTTTTAAATGGTTTATTTTTATTTTATGTGCATTGGTGTTTTGCCTGGGTGTATGTCTGTGTGAGGGTGTTGGGTCCTCTGGAACTGGAGTTAGAGACAGTTGTGAACTGCCATGTGGGTGCTGGGAATTGAACTGGTGTCCTTTGCAATTTAGTCAAAGTTCTTAAACCCTGAGCCATTCCTCCAGCCCCATCATGGTATCTGTTTGTATGTAGTATTTATAGGAGATTTAGAGTAAGTAAAGACTTAATCTTGGTCTTAATAAAGCATTGCCAATATAATTTTTGTACTTATGTATTTATTTTGGTTTTTCAAGACAGTGTTTCTCTGTGTAGGCCTGACTGCCCTGCAACTGGATCTGTAGATCTCAGGCTGGCCTCAAGCTCAAAGAGATAAACCTGTCTCTGCCTCCCAAGTGCTAGGATTAAAGGCATGTGCTGCTGCCATCCAGCAAAACTGTAGTTTTTAGTGTGCGTTGCCCATTGAGAAAATTGATTTCCCTACCACTTTAAAATTATCAAAAGCAAATGGATAGTACTTAAAAGGTATTAGACTGCTACTCCAAATGGTTTCTCCCACTTCATTCATCATAACATGTATTACTTTACAAACTATTTTGTTGAAAAATATTAAAAATTATTAACCATGAAATTGGTGCTATAAATATAAAATTAGTTTATGTCATGTTGATTTTTGTTTAAGCATACCTTCTCTTTATTTAATTAGAAGAAAAGTAAAATTTACCACAGACTGAGGTTCCATGATTTCAGAGATAACTTCAGATCAACTACTAGTCCCAGAGTTTGACAGGTATTAGAAGAGACTATCTGAATTTCTGTTTGTCTGCTATAAGTAGGGATTGCAGCTACTCCACAAATCTCAGAAAGTTATGGGGGATAAGATATGTTAGTTTGTTTGGAATGGGTTCTCATGTATCACAGGTAGGTTATGTAGCCAAGGATGACCTTGGATTTCTGATCTTCCCAGTGTGCATCACCATAGCTGTTTTATGTGGTGCTGGGGATCCAACTAGGCAAGCACTCTATCAACTGAGTCACATTCCTACCAATACATAGTATCAAGATGCAAAGTTCTTAACCATTCATTGTGTCCTGGAAAGTAGACTATATAGTCAAAATGAAATTCTTTGTTTGTCTTTACTATTTACTTTTTACAGTCCATATATAAAAGTTTCTTCATGTGTAGACGCTTCATAAGACGTACATAGTCCAAGTTTTAAAAGCCAGAATTTACTATTATGCCAGAAATTAAACAAAAGTTCATAGGCTTCTATGTATGTAACCACTGAAATTGTCACTAGGAAGGTCCCGATCCAGTTAGCAAACAGGTATTGTTTGTTTTTTGTTTTGTTTTTGTTTTTGTTTTTGAAATGAGTTTCTCTCCGTAGCTATAGTTGGACTGGAACTTTCTCTATGTAGACCAGCTGGCCTGATAGTCACAGAAATCCACCTGCCTCTGCCTCCAAATAATTGGATTAAAGATATGTGCCATTATGCCCATCTGAATAGTTATAGTTCCTTTTTTGCTTGTTTTTGTTTTTTTCCAGACAGGGTTTTGCTGTGTAGCGCTCGCTGTCCTGGAACTAGTTTTGTAGACTGGCTTTGCCTCCCAAGTGCTGGGATTAAAGGCAAGTGCCACCACCGCCCAGCTAGTTGTAGCTCTTGTATTGCAGTCTTCAATCTACTTTTTGTTTTCACTATATTCTTTATTTAACTTTTTATTTTGAACTTGATTTAGGCTTTCAGATGAGTTGTAAAGCAAACACTGAGTTCTCAAGCTTAAAAGCTTACATAATCATGGTGAATATCAAGACTAGGAAATTAACATTAATGAGCTGTTATTTCAGGACAAGGTTATTCAGATCCCCATTTTCTGGTCCAGGATCTAGTTCATGTTGCTTTTAGTTAGCTTACCCTCATCTATTTTAAGGAGACAGTTCTTCTGCTTGTCTTTTGTGACCTTGATGCTTTTATTGAATGCTTGGTGGTTTCTCATGATTTCTTGAGGAAACTGGTGTAAGGATTTTGAGGGTATGTACCACACAGGTAAAGAATCTTTCTCATTATTACATCATATCAATGGCATGCGATATCAGTATGTTGCTGGTAATATTTAAATGATATTTGATCACTTAATTCAAATTATACTTATTATAGTTTTCCTAGTATAAATTTTGGGGTTTTTTTTCCCTCTTTTAATCTTCTACTTATTAGAAACTAGTTAAGTCCAGTCCACACTCAAAGGGGGAAGAACAAAAAAATTATGGGTACACAGTCATTAGTACTATAAGTTTCTTGTAAAAATGCTTGATTAAGCTTGGTATAGTGCTGAACACCTTTAATCTCAGTCCTTGGGAGGCAGAGGCAGCTGGATCTCTATAGTACAAACCCAGTGTTGCCTACATAGCAATTTCCACACCAGCCTGGGCTGTGTAATAAGACCATGTCACACACACACACACACACACACACACACACACACACACACGAAGTATTGGTTGAATTGAATTGATTTTGACATAAAAAACAGGGTCTGCATTTTTCCAAACTGTTTTTCTGTTTTTGTGCCATTTAATGAGTAACCATCTCCCCTGTATGTATTCAATCTCTGAGCCATTCATTTTATTACACTATTTACCCGTGTAAATGATTTGAAAATTTTGCATCATGACCAAAAGCTATCGGTATAATTCATCTAAGAAAGTGCATACTCGGCTTCCATTTGTGTCGTTTATTAAGAATAGTCACTCTGCTTAGAGACTTCATTATATGACAGATGAAAACTACTTTTTAAAATGATATTGGTCATAATTTTTATGCAGTGTATCAGTGCTTCCATGCCTTAAAAATTAAGAAAAAATGCCTACCTCTGTGTGCTACAAGATGGTCTTCAACTTCTGTTGTACCTCAAATTACTACCCACTACACTGTTCATCCCCGGGAAAAAGACAAAAGATGGGAAGGTATGTAATGATTTTCATAAAATTCTTAATACTTTCCTAGATACTTTGTATTGTCTTGTTGGTATGAATATTTTGTTTTTCATGATAATTTAAAAGCATTCAATATATCTCACAACTTTATCAAATGTGTTACATATTACTATTTAGGTAAGTAAAAAAAATGTTATTATTGTTAATTTGATTCTCTCTTAGAACAGGGCTTCATATAGTGGCCTGGCCTTGAACTTGATTCTTCTTCTCTTACCTCCCAAGTATTAAGAGTATGCACCACCATGGCTTATAAATTTATATTTTTTAAACAAATCTTTTTTTTTTTAATGTGCATTTGGTGTTTTGCCATGAGTGTCCAGTCCCCTGGAACTGGAGTTACAGACAGTTGTAAGCTGCCATGTGGGTGCTGGAAATTGGACCCAGGTCCTCTGGAAGAGCAGTCAGTGCTCTTAACCACTGAGCTATCTCTCTTGCTCATAAATTTATAATAATGGGTTTCAAAGCCAAAAATTGGTTATGGGAACCAAAATAAGATACACACTGAAATAGAACCTAAAAGAACCTGAAACTCATCAAATGATATATTTACTATAATTATTGTGCACAACATAGAGAGAATATCCATAAATTATACTCTGAAGTATAGTGAGCACACTAAAATATATATTGAAGTATCCTAAACTAGCATATGACTTATGTGGTTATTAGGTCCTATTAATCCAATAATTGTTTTTATTTTTAACATGTTTCCTCTCAGGAGTGAATATGGAGAGATTTGCAGAAGAAGCAGATGTGGTAATAGTTGGCGCTGGCCCTGCAGGGCTCTCTGCAGCTATTCGTCTAAAGCAGCTGGCTACTGAACAAGGAAAAGACATCCGTGTGTGTCTGGTGGAGAAAGCTGCTCAGATAGGAGCTCACACGCTCTCAGGGGCTTGCCTTGATCCAGCTGCTTTTAAAGAGCTTTTCCCAGACTGGAAGGAGAAGGGGGTATGACAAGATGATTCTTACACAAGGTCTAGTCTTTGCTGTACACGGGCATTTTTTTTAGTCTAAAAAGAACCGAAGAAAAGGGGCTTGAGACTCTAGTTCAGTGGTATATAGCATGTACAAGCCCTGGGTTCAGTCTCTAGCCCACACACAAATGAATAAAAACAAGAAAGCTAGGTATAGTTGAACATTCTTGTACTCTTACCATGGAGGAAGCAGAGGCAGGAGGTTGATGAACTCAAGGCCAGCCTGGCTACATAGCAAGACCCAATCAAAAATAAGAAAGAAGTAACAAAATTATAATGAGATAGTTACTCAGATTTCCATAAAATCTTTATGTATTTATTTATTTATTTTATATCTTATGTGTGTGAGAGTTTTGCTTGCATATATTCATGTGTACCACTTGTGAGCCTAGTGCCAGTGAAGGTCAAAAGAGGGTTTCAGATCCCCAGGAACTGGAGTTACAGACAGTTGAGAGCCTCCACGTGGATGCTGGGAATCAGATCTTAGTCTTCTGAAAGAGCAGCCAGTGCTCCTAACCTCTGTGCCAACTCTCCAGTCCTTAACTTCTTTTTTATAAAATGCCATCTACATGTTCTATTTATATACTGGACTTATGAAAAGCCATGAGCTTGAGAATTCCTTTGAACATTTTACCTAATAAAATGCACACTTTGTTTCTTAAACTTGTTCCTAGTAAAGTATCTTGTAGACTTTTCTGGGACAATGCAATATCTAAAGCCAAAGAGGAAAGTCTAATTTTCTTTCTTTTATTAAATTTTTTAAATGAGTATTTCCTTGCATGTAAGTGTATGAACCATGAATATGCCTGATGCCCACAGAGTTAGAAGAGGGCATTGAATCCCTTTGGAACTGGAGTTACATGTAGTAGTGGGTGTTATGAATTGAATTCAGGTCTTCTGTAAGAGCAACAAGTACTCTTAGCCACTGAGCCAACTCTCTAGCACCTGACACTCTAATTTTCTTTTTTTTTTTAATATGAAGACAATCTAATTTTCTAAAGAGATAATTAATTTAGTCTCCTCTAATCTCAGCAGAAAAGATACAGGTATAATATGCAGGGGACTCAATGTTAGGTCTTACTGCTTTCAAAAGAATATTTGTTAATACTCTTTTTTTTATGTGCATTGGTATTTGGCCTACATGTATGTCTGTGTGAGGGTATCGGACCCCCTGGAGCTGGAGTGACAGACAGTTGTGAGCTGCCATGTGGGTACTGCCATGTGGAAATTGAACCCAGGTCCTCTGAAAGAGCAGCCAGTGTTCTTAACCACTGAGCCATCTCTTCAGCCCTGTGAATACCTTTAATGAAGGCAAAATAAATATATAAATGTAATTTGTACTCATTCTTTATGGAATAAACTAAAATCTGAAACTTTACTTTGTGTTCTCCTTCCCAAAATAGCATGCCTTTTTAACACAAAAACACTGCAAAGGAATTAGTTCTCTCTTCAGTGTATCAAAAACCAGGTATCATTGACTGGCACAATGTCAATTGTAATGTAAAAGCCCTTTATTGCCTTGACATCTACCCTTACACACACACACACACACACACACACACACACACACACACACACACAGAGTGTCAATGATCTGTGATTATGTACATATTAATTATCTTTATCACCCAAAAGGACAATTTTTCTAATTTTTTTTCAACAAGGCAGGCAATTTCAACTTGGAGTCAGGCACCTAGGCTGTACTCCCACAAAGACAGGGAAGCATGATGTGCACAGTTCATACTTGTCTGCAGAGCTTCTAGAGAAGCTAGGACAAAACTATTGAGAGGTGTGGGTGAGCTTTTAAGATTTTCATCTCAAAGGTGTTGCTGGCGCACACCTTTTAATCCCAGCACTCAGGAGGCAGAGGAAAGTGGATCTCTGTGAGTTCAAGCCAACCCAGTCTACAGAGTGAGCTCCAGGACAACCTCCAAAGCTACAGAGAACCCTGTCTTAAAAAAAAAGAAAAAGAAAAAAAAGACTTCCATCTGAAGGCTGGAAAGATGGTTTAGCACTTAAGAGCACTGGTTACTTCTCAAGAGGATCAAGGTTCAAATTCCAATACCCATGTAGCAGCTTACAACTGTCTGTAACTCCAGTTCCAGGAAATCCAAAGCTACTTTCTGGAGTCTGTGGACTTTAGGCACACAAATGTATGCCTGTATGTACTCTGCTGCAATATAGGCAAAAACATTCTTATACATTTAAAAAAGAAAAAGATCTCTATCTGTTTCAATCAGATATTATAAAAAATGTTGCAAGGTTTGCAAAAGAAAGACCGAAAGGAAAGTGAAGAGGAAAAGAGGAGTTCCTTTTCTTTTTCTCTTTAAGACAGTTTTAAAAATGTATATTCACCCCTACAAATATAACTGAAAACATTTTCTTCCTGTTTTCATTTGTTCCTAGGCTCCACTTAACACTCCTGTAACGGAAGACAGATTTGCAATTTTAACAGAGAAACATAGAATTCCTGTGCCAATTCTTCCAGGTAGAGTATATTCATAGTCATAAGAGCATAGTCTTGCATGGTGGGAGAGGCTGCATTTCAGTGGGGAAATGTCCTCTTTTACAGATGAGAAAATTGAAGGCCAGGAATGTGAAGGACTAGCTAATGAGAAAGCCAAATTAGGATGTGGTTCTTTTGTCTTCAAGTCTAGAAGAGCCTTGTAAAGCCAGCCAGGAATTTTTAATTCTAGGCTTTAAAATTATTTTAATAAACTTGAACTTTCAACCAAACTATTTTTTTAAATAACGTCATTGTGGCCATAAAGATAATGTGTGTATTTATTTATTTATGCAGCAGTACACACTGCTTAGATTTTTTAATTAAGTGTATTATTATATTATTTAGATGCCTTAGCCTTAAAATATGAGATTTTAAAGTTCATAAATATTTGCAGGTCTTCCGATGAACAATCATGGCAACTACATTGTACGCCTAGGACATCTAGTGAGCTGGATGGGGGAACAGGCAGAGGCTCTTGGAGTTGAAGTGTACCCTGGATATGCTGCTGCTGAGGTCTGTATAGTTTTGTTTTGTTTTTTAATATTTATAGGACGCAGTATCTTTTTTTAAAGTAAACTAATAATTTTATGGAAGTTAAGTTATTTTTAAAAAATCATAGGATTTTAGAATTTCAGGATTAAGGAAAATAGCTAAAATGTTCTAATCCAAATAGGAATTGAATTTCTTATATTGCCACCATGGTGACTGAGCACCATGGGGATAGGAACTCCCTCAGTGTGGACCCCTGGGCATCTTATTTACTCAGTGGGAATTATCAAATTGTGTGCTTTACGGAGTAAGTCTATGTCCTCTTCTAGCAGCATCCTTCTTGCTGTTTCCTACTCTCTTCTTCCCACCTCTACTCACCAGGAGGCTTTTGTTTTCCAGGATACATAGTCTCATTTCTTTCAACCACCATGCTATGTAATTTGTACTGCTGTCCTCTAATGAACATATTTATTTTCATCCCTTCTTAATAATACCTGTAGTAATATATATATTCACAGATCTCTGTGAATTTGAGGCTAGCCTGGTATATATAGCGAGTTTCAGGCTAGCCAGGACTGCATATTGAGACCGTGTCTCAAAAACAGAAAGGAGGGGACTGGAAAGAGGGTGGCTTGCAGTTAAAAGCACGGGCTGCTTCTCCAGAGGACCCATGTATAGTTCCCAGCACCTACATGCCAGCACACACAACTGTCTGTAACTTTAGTCCCAATCTGCCACCCTCTTCTCACCCCTGAAGGCACAGCATACACATAGTGCACAGGCATACATTCAGGCAAAACATGCACATACATTTAAAACATATTTTAAGGAATTTGGCTGGAAAAATAATAGAAAGAAGAGTAGGGATAAGGAGCAATTCTTTTGTCTTTAGTGTCAGAGAAAATTCAATTTTTTTGTTTTTGTTTTTTACAAATCAAAGCCAAGTTAAAGACATGGGTCCCTGCATTGTCCTTGTGCTAAAAAGATGTTTCCTCAGCCTATACATATGCATTTGGTCTTTAGACCTTGGTGAGGGATTTTGCATTGCTTCTTGTTAAAGTTCTTGCCTGGGCTCCATGTCAGAGTCAGAGGTGGGTGATTTATGGAGTACCTGTTAATCACCTTCTTGTGTACATGCTTATTTATGGCCTCTAACATGGCTTCTTTTTTCTTCTTCATTTTTTCCTCATCGTTGTTAGTAGGTTTTATCGTTTGGTATAGTGCTCTGAACTGACCTCAGTTGCCTTCTTATCCTCCTCCTCCATTGCTGTGTATCTTTGGATCACTATCCACGCTCTTGATTTTCTATAATGTCATGAGGTTCCAGGGTACATTTTGTACTTGGCTATCTAGAGAGCATTTTCCTCTACAGGAAACAGAAATTAGGGGGTCAGAATAGTGCAGTTTCTCATCTTCACAGTTATGCTTTTTACCTCTGTCACTCCATTCTTGCTTCAAAATTAACTGCAGTCACCATCATTTCAAAGATGTCAAAGTTAGTATGAATGCTGAGGTGATAATAAATTTCCTTTTATCATTTTTAGGTCCTTTATCATGAAGACGGTAGTGTAAAAGGAATTGCCACTAATGACGTAGGAATACAAAAGGATGGTGCACCAAAGGTATACCTTTTAATAGTTCTGTGCTTAAAAAGAAGTAGCAGGGGGCTGGAGAGATGGCTCAGCAGTTAGGAGCACTGGATGCTCTTCCAATGGACCCAGTTCAATTCCCAGCAAACACATGGCAGCTCACAACTGTCTGTAACTCCAGTTCCAGGACTTCTGACACCCTCACATACACATACATGCAGGCAAAACACCAATGCACATAAAATAAAAATATAATTAAAAAGAAGAGCGGGTGGGGTGGGACTGGAGAGATGGCTCAGCAGTTAAGAGCATGGCTGCTTGCTCTTACAGAGGTCTTAAGTTCAATTCCCAACAACCACATGGTGGCTCACAACCATCCTTAATGATATCTGGTGCCCTCTTCTGGCCTGCAGGCAGAACACTGTATACATAATACAATAATATAAAATCTTTAAAAAGAAAAAGAAAAAGAGCAAGGCATGGTGGCACATCTGCAGTCCCAGTACTTAAGAGGCTGAGGCTGAAGGTCAAGCCAGCCTAAGCTACATACAAGACCCTTTCTCAAAAACAAAAAAACAAAACAAAACAAAAAAAACAACTCAACCTCAATATTTAGGTTTTCCCATAAACTGCACAATATGTGGGGTTTAGAATATAATTAAGAATAGTGGTATTTTTTGCAGTTGATAAAAAGCAGAAGCAAGTTCCAGTTCAACACAAAGGTAACATGTTTAAGAATTATTTTTAAAAGATTAAAATATGAGTCATATACATATAAAATAAACATGAAAGATTTTATTTCATTCACTTAATAGCAGACTCAGCCAGTTGTTACAGCCAGTATAGTCATCTGCATTGGCACACTACAGTTTCATTCCTGTGGACAAGAACCATTTACTCTATTAGCAGCAGAAATCTTGGGAAATGTAAAACTGGTTGCCTTCCTCTCATTCAAAATGTCAGCCTGACAAAGTACACACAGATGTATGTTAGCCTGAGTTAGTATATAGAGTACATACTACAAAATCTGAAATGAAGTCACTAATTAGATTAATTATTAAACTGCAGATTTAAACATGCATATCTAGAGCTAGGCACGACAGCATGTGACTGTAATCCTAGCATTTGGGAGCTGAGAAAGAAGGGTGGCTATAAGTTTGAGACTAGCCTGGGCTATGGATGAGACCCTATTTTTTTTAAAAAAAAAAAAAAAAAAGATTGAAAAAGAATGTTTTGTGAAACTGCAAAAGAAGAATTACAGAGCTCTCAACTATACATTTCCTTTCCTGTCATAAGAATAAACACAAATTCCTATCTTGATGTATTATGTGTTTATTACCTAGTCTTCCAACTATATGCTCAGTTTCTTGAGGACAGAAGTAGTAAATGGTTACCTAGTCCTGGGTGATTGTTTGCTTATTGATATTTAGCCCCTTTCTGCCTTTCTTGAACAAAATTGGAATCTAGTCTGCTCCAGCATGTCTTCCTCCTTAGAAATCAAGAGGCAGAGGCACACAAGTCATGCCATGCTCTTAATTTCTATATATTATGACAATTTAGTTATAAATTTATTAGAAAATTTACCTATAACCAATAATTATAACATTCTTGTAACATTACAACATCACAGCAAAGGTCATACAAATCCTACCTTTCTAATATTTCATTTTCTTGATCATCCAAAATTTTTCATGTTCTATGCTTTGTATTTGTAAAAAATATATTTTATATCTTCATAAATATAACACATAAAAGAAGCCAGGCATGGTAGCACATACTTATAGTCAGGGTGATAAGCTGAACCTCAGTGCTCAAAACCAGCCTAATCAACATAGTGAAAAACTGAAAGAACAAAACCTAAAACACCATAGAAGAATGCAGTGGGATCTGCTGCCCATGTTTGCCAGGAGAGAAGCAGAGATTGTGTCTGCTGCTGTTCACTCGCTTTTTAACCTACTGTAGCTTGATTTTGATCTCTGACATTCTGAAACAGCTCCAGTTTGTGTGATATTTTGTTTATGATCTAACAATAAAGCTTGCCTGAAGATCAGAGTGCAAAACTAGCCACACTAGTCAGCCATAGAGGATAGGCAGTGGTGTCACACACCTTTAATCACAGCAGCCACACTAGTTAGCCATAGAAGCTGGGTGGTGGTGGTGCACATCTCTAATCCCAGCACTAGAGAGGAATATAAAGTGGAGCCAGGAGTACAATGTATTCCGTCTGCAGTCACACTGAGAACAGTCACACTGAGTCCCTTTTGGTCTGAGCCTTGGTAGAGGGAAGAACTCTCTAGTGGCTTGGTTGCTTTGCTTCTCTTATCTTTCAGCTTTCCCCCCTAGTATCTGTCTCTGAGTTTTTATTATTTGTGCTACAGCAGTTTGTCACGGCAGCCAGCCTTGTTTTCTCTTACTTGACCTTCTAGTGTATGTATTTCTGTGTATATGACAGGTGTGACACAAATGAGCACTACTCAAGAAAAAAAGAAGTTACCAACCAAAGTGGAAGATGTCCCAGTTCTCTTAGTGTGCTGTTAGTTCTGAAGTCATTCTTACAATTCAGCCTGAGTAATTCACAGCCAATGTGGACTTCACAACAAGACATAAACAAAACATTAATGTAATCTATTTGACCACTAAAAATGAATGCTTTATTTGCAGTACATTGCTTTAGGTAAATCACTTCTAAAACAATTATGAAACATTACCTTGGTATAAACCTATTGATTATATGCATATATCTGTATACACAAATGCAAGCAAACTCCTAAGTAGAAAAACATCAAGAAAGATACATTTTATAAGGGACTTCCTTAAGTATTGTTCTTAAGTACCAGCCATTTGCCAGATGTAAATGCAAAAAGCAAACATCTGTATTTGTAGCCTGTTTTTGTTTTTGTTTGAGACATTCTCTTCAGTGTGGCCTAAGCTGATCTCAAATTCACAATCTTCCATCCTTGGTCTTTTGTAGAATGCACCATGCCTAGCTTTAAATACATCATGCATGCATGCGTACATACATACATACATATGATTACTTTTTTAGTGGGAGAAGACATTTGTTTTACAATACTATATGTTGAACAATGGGGAAAGGTTAAAGTAAACAAAGCAAGTAGCTAAGGAGTGTGATGAGTACAATACTTGTACTTAAAAAGGATGTAGCTAATATCCTATAGTCTTTTTTTTTTTCATGACTCACAGAGATCTATTGTTTTTCTTCTGATGGTAAATGGAAACTTAAGAAATATATGGAGATGGGAAGGCCTTTTCATTTGTAGAGAAGCTCTGAACACAAGCATACATCGCTTTTCTGGAATGAAGACATTATAGAATTTAGATTCTACTTATAATAGTTCTGTCAGTTTTCTTTCTAGTATATAGGTCTACTATTTCTTGTGTACCTAAATCATTATTTAACTTAATGTATCTAATATTGTTACTTTAACATGGTTTTGCTTTTCAGTCAACATTTGAGAGGGGACTAGAACTGCACGCCAAAGTCACAGTCTTTGCAGAGGGTTGCCATGGACACCTAGCCAAGCAGCTTTATAAGAAGTTTGATTTGAGGGCCAGCTGTGATCCCCAGACCTATGGAATTGGTTTGAAAGAGGTATCCTGGTTTGCTTGTACAATTTTAAGTAATGGAATTTAATTTGTATTATGTAGTTTATAATACTGACTGAATTTTATACTTAAGTTTTTTCATTAACTTAAAATGTTCCTTATAACTAAAACTGAAATAGTTTCTGATATACAAGAAAATGTTACAGATCAAATGATTGCCTAAATTGTATATACAATAAGCCTTAAACTTGCAAATATTTGTACCTTAATATTTTTCATAGTCTGCCTTTCTATGGCTGTCTCATGTGCTGCTTGTAGACTGGCCACAGCCTGCAAAGAATTATTTATTCAGAATTCTAATGTAAAAATATTTCATTAAATACATTCAGACAATGTATATGCTCTATAATTTAGTAAGGTTAAATGTATATTTTCTTAAATTTATTCTATGGTCTATTAACCCTTTAAATTTTCTTATTTGTTTGTTTTGCAGTGCAAGGAATTAAAATCAGGGCCTTGAATATGTTAAGCAAATAATTCTACCACTGAGCTACATCCCAGGCTAGTTTAAGAATTTTAAGCCAGGCATGAAGGCATAGATCTGTACTGTTAGTACTTGGGAGGATGGCACAGAAGGATTGAGAAGCCAGGGCTTAGTCTAAATAAGTTGTTTAAAAAAAAAAAAAAAAAAAAAAAAAAAAAAAAAGATAAATTGTGTGTGTGTGTCCAGACAGGGTCTTACTATGTAATTTTATTTACTTACCAACCCCAGTTCTCCCTTCCTCCCACTTCTCCCACTCCCTTTCCACTCCCCATCCACTTCTCAGAGAGGGTAAGGTCTTCCTTGGGGAGTCAACAGAGTCTGGCATGCCAGATTGAGGCAGGATCAAGACCTTCCCTCGTGTATCAAGGCTGAGCAAAGTATCCCACCATAGGAAATGGGCTCCAAAAAGCCAGTTAATGCACCTGGGATAGGTCCTGGTACCACTGCCAGCTCCCACGCCACCCTAAACAGATCAAGCCACATAACTGTCACCCACATTTAGAGTGTCTAGTTCGGTCCCACGCAGGGTCCTCAGTCCATGAGCTCCCACTAGCTTGGGTCAGCTGTCTCTGTTGTTTTCCCCATCATGCTCTTAATCACCTCTTGTTCATCTGATTCCTCCTCCCTCTCTTAACTGAACTTCAGGAGCTCAGTCCAGGGCTTAATCAGATTAGTGACTACCCTAATTGTCATTATAGAACCTACATCAGTAACTGATGGAAGCAGATGCAGTGACCAGTATGTATATATTTTTAAGGGGCTAGGGATGTCAGAGAGTGCTTGCCTAACATGAATAAGGCCATGAGTTCAGTCTCCAGCACTGCAAAAATAAACAAATAAAAAGGAAACACTTATTCATTATTTTGTGAATAAAAGCTTGCAGTGAACAATGATTTTATTGTCCAATGACTGCAGTGGGAAAGATAAAGTGATCTGAACTGCTCTGTTAATTGGTCCCTTCTCCAACAGTGAGCATGCTCAAGTAGCCAGTACTCCAGAAAGGTCACCATTTCTGTAAAACCAAAAAGAAATTCTTAATTTCAGGTTCTAATGTCTTAAAGGGTTCATAACTTTTGTGACCCATTTCTTTATCCTGGTTTAACATGCAATTATTTGATTATAATTTTCCTTGATGTACAAAATAATTATTTTGTTGCTTTCATTTGTAGTTAATACTGTAAGACTTCTTGGGTTTGTTTTTTGTTCTTAGTTATGGATTATTGATGAAAAGAAGTGGAAACCTGGGAGAGTAGATCACACTGTTGGTTGGCCTTTGGACAGACATACTTATGGAGGCTCTTTCCTTTATCATTTAAATGAAGGTGAACCTCTAGTAGCTGTTGGTTTTGTGGTAAGTTATCTCCCCATTGCAAAAGATTTTGCCAGAATTATAGTGATTTGTGTGGAAAAACAGGCTTTAAACCTGGAAGATAGGTTTTCCATTAGAAAGCTGACTTTTTAATTTATCTGCATGTAAAATATCTATGGCTACTATAGACATTCATCAACTTACTTCGCTAAAATACTAGTAGCTACCACACTTTGGGCACTGTTTAGATTTGAGGGGATGGGTTAGTCCATTTTGTAACCATCTTGTTCTATGAAACATATTCTTATTGTGCCAGTGAGAAACAAGTCTATCCAAAAGCCACAATAACTCCTTGTCTATTGTGTTACTGTAAAGAGACACCATGACCAAGGCAACTCTTATAAAAGATAACATTTAATTGGGCTTGCTCAGTTTCAGAGGGTTAGTCCATGATCATCAGTGGTGCTGGAGCAGTAGCTGAGAGCTTTACATCCTGATTTGAAGCCAAAGAGAGCGACTGGGCCTACTCTGGGCTTTTAACCACACTAACCCCATTCCCAGTGAAACACTTCCTCCAACAAGGCCATACCTCCTAATCTTTCCCAAACAGTTTAACTAACTAGGGAACCAAGCATTCAAATACATGAACCTATGGGTTCATTCAAACCACCACAGTGATGGAGGCAGGATTTATGCCTGATGCTGACTTTAAAGCCCACTTCCACTATGGCATGTCGCCACTAAAACTAAAATTGAACCTCAGTTTGAACCTACTACTTTAAAACAAATTACAGGCAATTTCCTCTCTCATCACTACAGCAATAAATTATGTCTTAAATATTCTGAACAATGCAAACTAAATAGTTTCTACCCCCTTGTAGTTGACAGCAGCATGTTGGTATAGTGTCAAATGACATGGCACATCATCAGATTTACACACTGTCAGTACTTAATACACTCAGTCAGGTTTTCGTGTTATTTTGTGGTACTTACCCTAGTGCTTCAGTCTCAAAGGAAAAAGGTGTTGTTGTTAATTTTAGCACTGGTACTGCCATGAAACCTGTATCTCATCCTGCTGTTTTTCTGAATACAATGTACATCCTTTTGGGCCTGGTAGTACTGTAACATAGATTACTATCTTACTTGTAGAATTGGTATTGATAAACGAGTAATAAGTAATCACAACTCCACTTGTGGACACTTACAAAAGGGGTTTTGATTATTTTTTTTCTTAATTTGGACTTTGATTTTCAGAGCACAATGGTTTGCTAATGTCTTAATTTTTAAAGTTTAGCTGATTATAAACATGTCTTATCCTTTGGCTTACTTTTTGTCTCCTCAGAGTTAGAGTTTATCTGTTTTCACTTTGGTTTTGGTTTAAGGTTGGTCTAGACTATCAGAATCCATACCTAAGTCCTTTCAGAGAGTTCCAACGGTGGAAGCACCACCCCAGCATCCAGCCCACACTGGAGGGTGGGAAGAGGATAGCCTATGGAGCCCGGGCACTCAATGAAGGCGGCTTGCAGGTAGCTTCCAGCACTTACTCTGAATTTTTATTTTGTAAATTAAATTCCAGTTAACAAAATAATTATTTCATAGGAAGAAAATTTATTTAAGGAATTTAACAAAATACTTACTCTTTATTAAATTATGCATAAACATAGTAATTAAATTACACCATGAATTTAGTTTGAAGAATATGTTGAGAACTGGAGAGATGGCCCAGTGGTCAAGAGCACTTGTTCTTGCAGAGGATCCAGGTTCAATTCCCTGCACCCACATGGCAAGCTCATAACGTACACAACTCCAGTTTCAGGGCATCTTATACCCTTTTCTGACCTCAGACAATACACACATGGTGCACAGATATACAGCACAACACTCATACACATAAAAGAAAAAAGAATGTATTGATTTCATTGGGCGTGCTAGTACATGCCTTTGGTTAGCAGAAGCAGCTGAATTTCTTGAGTTTAAAGCCGAACAAGATCATTCTATATGAATGTGTGTATGTGTGTGTATACATATACATATACATATAAATATATATACATATGGCCTTTTAGCTTTTTACTAGAAAACAAAAATTGTGTAATTCATGCATTTCCCTTTATTCCTTAACTATACTAGGAAACTGAAAAGGAAATGAATTTACAAAAATGATTTATCCCAATTAAGTCTTTCAGGTAGCCTCTGTTAGGATTCTACCACTAATTATTCTGTATTAGTATACATTCAAAATAAATATTTTGAAATATGATTAATTTGTTGAGTATGCATTAAATAATGAAATAAGACCTAAATGCCCATGATAAAAGCTGTCAGTTCTGTTGTAAAGACAGTATCAGACAAGTAAGATAATTGAAATCTAGCTCTATAGAGGTTAGACCAAATAATTTGGAACAAGATAGCTTTTCTTCCCTTCTAGTCTAGATTCTTAGGTTAGTTAGTTTGGTTTTCTTTAATTGATTAGAAAAGTAACATGGGGGGCACTTAACCTTAGAATAAAGCTCTGACTACATTGTTACTATTAATAGTAACTCATAGTTAAGGGAAGTCATACTGGTATTATCAATAAGGTCATTCAAATATGTGAATGTGCACATGTATAAGTACACGCATGAGGTCAGAGGACAACTTGGGAGACTTGGTCCTCTCCTACTATGTGGATTGTGAGGATTAAACTCCAGTGATAAAGCTTGACAGCAAGCCTTACCCACTGAACTATCTCAGCAATCTGGGTATGATCCTTCTCTGATTCCTTCTGCCCTCGGGTTTTACTGCTTTAGAATTCTACCATTGGTGGTAACTGTGGCCACAAAGCCTTCCTCATGTCTCTTTTGCAGCTGATAGCAAGTTTTGTGAGTCTTAGGCAGCATAATCAAACTTTTACCACTCTACCACACTCTCAATAATTAAGGCCTGTCTATGGCTGAATTTAGAAAGCCCCTAGAGAAGAAAAGCTGCAAATGAAGAAAGAACAACCCCGCAGTGGTTTACTTCCTTTTCAAACTAGAGTACGTGTTCTCATGCAGTCTTTTTTCGGCTCCTACTACTTAGGCAATATACTTTTATTGGCTAAATTGAAAATATTGATGCCTTTATTACATTGGTTGTTTTTTCAGAAATGGAAAGTTCAGTTTGTTAAGCTAATAACATTTGTTTAGAGCAGTACCAAGTCATTGTAATGCCATTAGATCAGTTCTCCATCTCCACATGTCAGACTAAAATATATGTAAAGGAAGTGAAAATTTGTCATACAAACTTAGAAAATGTTTTAACCTTGGCACAGATATATTTAAATAAAAACATGCAATTTCAAATGTTGTTTTGATAATTCTGTCCCATAGAAGTCAGGCATGGGATAGGAAAAGAAAAAAAATTAGAAAAATGGTCATAGTCCTAATTCTAAACTGCCCTGGCTGTTTCCTTTCCTTGCTGTATTCCTTTTCATGTTGTTTGTTATTCTTTTCCCTACAGATTTAGGTTGTTTTTTTGTTTTACCTCATTTGAGCTGACAAATGTGTTCTGAATCTTTTCAGTCTATACCAAAACTTACTTTTCCTGGTGGCTTACTAATTGGTTGTAGCCCTGGTTTCATGAATGTTCCCAAGATCAAAGGTACCCATACAGCAATGAAAAGTGGAAGTTTGGCAGCAGAATCAATTTTTAATCAATTAACTAGTGAAAATCTCCAATCAAAGACAACAGGTGAGAAACTCCTTCTATAGTAAAGAAATACTAATAGTCAGAAATTTTAAAACTATGTCATTTTATTCACATCGAATATATTACCAGTGATTATCTCTTCAGATTTGATAGTACTACATCTACATCTATAGAATGACTCAAAAAGTATCACACAAATTCCCAAGTATCTATAGGCTAGAAACAGAACATCCCTGAACAGGGCAAAATCAGCCACCTGTCCTTAGCAAACAAAATCACATGACTGCCGTGGCAGAGAACAGGCACAACCACCACTGTAAATCAGTAAGAGGCCATGTAACTGGGCATTTGTTAATCAAAGGAGAGACAAGCAGATTTCTCTGAGTCCCAAGCTAACCAAGGCTATGCTATGTGACCCTCTTACTAAATCAGCTAATTAAAATAAAAAAGACCCCCTGAAAGTCTCTTATTTTGCATTTCAATTTTCTCTTTGATTTCATTTCTTTTTAAAAAACTATTATTATGTGCATATGGACATGCCAAGTGCACATGTGGAGGTCAGAGAACTTAAAAATCTTTTTTTTACTATCATTGTTTACTTGTATGTAGGTACATGCGAATGAGTGCAGAGGCAGAGGAGTCAGATGTCCCTGGAACTGAGTTACAAGCAGTTGTGAGCTGCTTGATGTGCAAGCTGGTAACTGCACATGTCATCTTTCTGGCTCACTATCGGAGGACTTTTGGAAGTCAGTTCTTAACACATGTATGTAGGTTCCAGTAATTGAACTCAGGTTCTTATGCTTGTTTGGCTGAGCCATCTTATTGTTCTCAAAAGAAACCTCCCAAGGAACACTGTAAACATATGAAGTATAGCCAATGGAACCTCAACTCCATGGTTGCCAGCTGGATGGTGGTGGTGGTGGTGGGGGGTGTTGGTTGTTTCACTTTTCTTGCCAGTACTGGGGATTGACCTAGGACTCTGCAGCTTTGCATTCCAGCTACTGCTCTCCAGTTCCTGAATATGCCATACATGCTTTCATCTCATGGTTTTTGCCTCTGTTCAGATAGTACTCTCAGGTAGTCTCTAAATCTTACCAATTGGAATACCCAAAGCTGTCCCACCCCCTGAACTGTTCATTGTCATGTGCCATCACTTGACACGCTATATATTTGTCTTAATTATCTACTGTCCAAAAAAAAAAAAAAAAAAGAATTATATATCTACTGTCTTCTGCCACCTGGACGAAAACTCCAGCAAAGACTTCGTTCACATTCAGTTCTAAACACTTGGCATATAGTAGCAATTCAACACATATTTCATAAATAAACCTAGTCCTTAGAATCACACACAACCAATTTTCCTTTACTAAGAATTAGCAACTCAGGGACTCAGGGTATGGCTCAATGATTGAGGGAGTACCTACCATGAATAAGACCGTGGGTTTGATTGGTCCCTAGCACTGAAAAACCAGTAAGTGCAACTTGATTATACCTTCAAGTATCTAACAATAAAGGTCTAGCACATGGGCTTGGTAAGCCGTAAGAAAGCCAATAAGAGAATACTTTTTGTATGGCAGGAGAGGCAAGATGGAATTCAACAGTCAGGTAGAGCTCAAATCTTAATTTTCCGTCAAGTTCTGTTGCTTGTGAAACCATCAGCCATTCTTTAAAGTTGTATATGTAGTACCAGATAATCCTGGAATTTAGTATAACAAGAAATAAAATCCCTTGAAAATTGTAACAGAAAACCACTAACTAAAGAGTATAAACAGTAGTTTGTGTAAGTCAGTTAAGAATCAGTTGTAGCCAGGTGGCACAGCCCTTTAATCCTAGCACTTCAGAGGCAGAGGCAGGCAGATCTGTATGAGTTCAAAGCCAGCCTGGTCTACAAAGTTCCAGGTTGGGGGGGGGGGGGGGGGGGATGATTCCCCTTTCATCAGATGTAGTACTTGGCCAGCATTTATGAACCATTAGGTTCAATCCCTAGTACCCACACCCACCCCCCAAAAGATGATTTCTTAGTTGTACTCTAACAAAATTCTAACACTAGATGAATTTAAATAGTTTTACTTTACAAATTCTGCCAGCAGGAAGTTCAAAATCAAGGTGTTCATAGGACCATGTTCTCTGAAGTTTGTTTTCCCCCTGCCCATCTTCACTCCATTCTCTGCCTGTCTTCACCTCACCATCATTTGTCTGACTTGTTAAGTGGACAATATAATAATAGATTAGGGACCCACTCTATTCCAGAGACCCCAATTAATTGTCTCCTTCCATCCTATTAGAAAGTCAGTACTAGGACTGAGGCCATTGGGACTGCAAAAGATACTCTAGCAGGGACATGATTCCACTTACAATAGATGTTTCAGAGATTTTTGTATTTTTTAAAAAATTGTAAACAGCCAGAACTTGTACAAGTTACCTTTTCAGACAAATTAATTTGTTTCCAGTGTAAAAATTAAGGTCTTTTATAGCCCAATGGTAGGATACTCGCTTACCATTTACAAAGCCTAGTGCTACCCAAAAGAAGGCAGATCAGATGCCTTACTAACCAAATATATAGAGAGATAATCTTGTTGGAAGATGCCAACATGTGTGATTCTGCATGGATCCACATAACCATGTTTTTAAAAACTTAAGACTCACCATCTGTGTTTTACTTAATATTTCTTTTTTCATAAAAGGACTCCATGTAACCGAGTATGAGGATAATTTGAAGAAATCTTGGGTATGGAAAGAGCTACATGCTGTTAGGAATATAAGGCCATCCTGCCATGGGATACTGGGAGTATATGGAGGGATGATTTACACTGGAATATTTTACTGGATATTGAGAGGAATGGAGCCATGGACTCTAAAACATAAAGGTAATCCAAATATCCTTAATGCCAGTGTTGTTGTGTTCCTTAGTAAGGAATAGAGCCCTTTTCAGTGTTTTGTGGGATGTGTTCCTTAGTAGGGAATAGAACCCTTTTCAGTGTTTCAGTAGTGTTAGGGTTGGACCTGAGACTCTCACTAAGTTCTATCTCTACTGCCCTAATATTTAAGCTTGCTTTATCAGAGACTTGGTAAATAATGTCTGGGTGTGCATTGTTTATTTTATGGGGAGGAGGGGGGTATTTTGCAACAGGATCAAATGTAGCCCAGATTTAAGGGTGACCTTAAACAACTACTCCTGCCTTGACCTAAGCACTGAGATTTCAACTGTGCATTACCACACCTATCTTAAATTCAGTATCTTTAAAAGGTAAAATATCCTACACTGAACTGTTTTCTTTGGTATAACAATAGCTCCAAGTTTTTCTAATATGCTACTTGAGGCCAGGCATAGAGATAAAGGCAAGAAGGTAGTTCAAAGCCAGTCTGAATTACTGAACAAGATGCTTCATTGATGGACTCTGAGTGAAGGTCAGTGATAAGAGAATATTAGTATGCATGGGCCCTGGTCTGGCTAAGTCACCAGCACCAAAAAAAAAGATAAAGTACTGGAAAATTATGTTACTTTACTAAACATCTTCCTCACAATTGCTTAAGGCTCAGACTCTGATCAGCTCAAACCAGCTAAGGACTGTACACCCATTGAATATCCAAAACCCGACGGACAGATCAGTTTTGATCTCTTATCATCTGTGGCTTTGAGTGGTACTAATCATGAACATGATCAGCCAGCACATTTAACCTTAAAGGATGACAGCGTGCCTGTTAATAGAAATCTGTCCATATATGATGGGCCTGAGCAGCGATTCTGCCCTGCAGGTCAGTAACGATTTCCTTTTGTCCCTAAACATTAACAAATTTCCATTTTAAGATGTTCCTTTTCCATTGCAAGGAGACTGTTGTTTATTAAAAAAAATAAAATAAAAAAAATAAAACACTTCTATGTTCAGCATCCTTAAAGAAACTCATGTCTTGAATGTCCTGACTAGCAGTGATAAAATAGTAGGGATTTTGGTTGTCCGTAGTTTGGGTGACCAACCTCTAAACAGCCTTCATGTCTACCCTCAGACAAAAGAATTATAGAAAACAAATACAAATACCTGCCCTTGCATCTTTTTAAAAAGCTGTTTTCTGCAGGGCTGTGGTGGCATATGCCTTTAATCTTAGCATTTGCCAGTCAGAGGTAGGCGGATCTCAGTGAATTCGAGGCCAGCCTGGTCTACAAATCGGGTTCTAAGACAGCCAGGGCTGTTACACAGAGAAACCCAAGTCTCAAAAAACAAAACAAAGTAAAAAGAAAAAAAGCTGTTTCTGAAATGAGTTTGTACATTCATCCACATTACCGCCACACTGAGTTCAATGCCTAACACTAAACTTATACCGAATCCCTTAATTGCTACGAGCTTACAGGTAAAATTAATGAGAACCAGATCTAAATAATATAGTAGAATAAATAGCACTCGGATATATGAAAATTAATGTATGTTCAAGTGAGATTAGACAGTAAGTAAAACTATTCAAGAATAAGGCCTTGTCTTGACTTTTAAAAGTTATACTATAAACACTCAAAGGTAAGGACTGAAGCTAATTTGTTTAACTTTTGTTTGATGAACCCAGACAATACTGTTGAACTTCTACTGTGTTAGTAGAAGCACTAAGTTTATTAGTATACTAATGCACCAGATAGTCTCTGGGGGTAGACAATGAAAGCCTCAGAGGTTTCTGAAGTTGTTCTAAGCTTTTAATTTCCATGCTCTTTTGAACTATTTACTTTCTTTTTAATATAACTTAATGTATTTAATTTTATTTTACAGGAGTTTATGAATTTGTTCCTTTGGAACAAGGTGATGGATTTCGATTACAGATAAATGCTCAGAACTGTGTGCATTGTAAAACATGTGATATCAAAGACCCAAGTCAGAATATTAACTGGGTGGTGCCAGAAGGTGGAGGAGGACCTGCTTACAATGGCATGTAAAACACAAGCGCCTTCATTTACTGGCACGTGTGATAGCCAGTTTCTATAAAACTGTAAGTGTATGCCAATGTTTAGAAAACTTCTGAACAAGTGTCCTTAAACATTACTGAAGTAAAAAACTTTATATCTAAAGCTGTCCATAAAATCATGAACTATTTCTCATAAATAAAACTTTACAAATAAATGATGTAGCATCTCACTTTGCAAGCCCTTCAAACGCATCAGTACAATGGGAACTTGTAGTATTGAGCTTCCTAATGCATTTGTCTTGCTAAACTTAAATCTTTGAGTATAAAAACAAATGTGTATTCTAGACCAGGGAAGGACATCCAGAACTAAGCATGAATAGTTTTACGAAACATAACCATGCCCACTGGCTACACACATAGTTGTGACAGGCTAGAGTAGTAGTTCCTAACCTTCCTAATGCTGTGACCCTGTAAACAGTTCTTCATGTTGCGGTGCCCCCAACCATGAAATTATTTTCTTTGCTACTTCATAACTATAATTTTGCTACTGTTATGAATTGCAATGTACATATCTGTGTTTTCCAATGGGTTCCAATGAGAACCACTAGACCAGATGATTCACAAAACCTAAAGGTTAGTAAGACTTTAAGAATTTAAATATTGGCCAGATACCATTCTTTGGAGACAGAAAGATTTTTAAAATGAGATTAATAGCATTTCATAACACTTTATTAAGAAACCTATGTCAGTACTTCTATGTAAACAATGATGACAATGAATCAAGGGAAACATATCATATGTAGACAGTAACTTACATTATCCTTTATATAATCAATGTGTAAAATTTAAGCAGAATTTAATTCTCTTTAAGCAAACATTTTTGCATATACCGCCTTCTCTTTATCTTTCTGTGCCTTTATCATTTGTTTCACTTTAAGCAATTCTGCCTGGATAGCTGGGGGGAAAGAAGGCAATGAATTAATTTTCAAAGCATCTATAAAACTAGAAAAAAACTAACAAAGTACACTTGTGACTCAACAATCCCCTGCCATGGCTGTACTTTTAGCAGTACTATTTAGACCTATTGTCATTCTTCATCTGCTTTACCTCAGAGAAAGTTCCTTTCTGTCATAGCTACTCTGCAACATATCCAATACATAAAAGAATGTTTGGTCATAGCCACATTCAGCTTAGAGAAGGAATGCCCCAAACTTTAAAATCACAATGAATACTTTATTTCTTACTGTTAACCTTTTGACTAGCAATGATATAATAGAATCTGCATCTCAACAGAAAGGGTTGCAGACGAAGTATGAAGGCATATTTAAAAAGCTAGTAGTTTCTTGTGCAGAATTAAGCTCTGCATAGGGGAGAGACCTTAAATACTTATATAATCAGTGCTTGGCCCAGTAACAGGCACCCTTCAATGCCTAAACAAATAAATATGTCAACCTTATGTGTACACTCATAAGGATCCATTTCTGAAAGACAAAGGAAGTTTCACTATAAAACCTGCCAATTTACCTTTATCTCCTGGGGCTATCTCCTGCGCTTTCTTAAGATCAGCCTTTGATGGGGGAAGGAGAGAATTTAAGAAACATTAGACATTAAGACTGTTAAGGTGATTATCTATTATAAAACAAGGAGAACAAAATTTACCAGTGCTTGATCATATTCTTTTAATCCTTGCCATCCTTGTGCTTTTCGGTATAGTGCTTTAGTATTTGATGGGTCCATTTCAAGAGCCTATGAAAAAGTTATAAAATCAGTATTTGTATCTAAAAGTACCTGTTATCAACTGGTTCCAACTCACTGGAGCTAGAGCACCTGTGCCATCTAGGAGTTTACCAGTAGAAAGTGCCCAGTGGTTGAGCAAAAGAGGGATGGGTTTCTTTTATCGGTCTCCAGTGTGCTGCTCTGCACTGGTTTCTAGCTCAAGTGGACCCAGACTATTTAAGAGGAAAAACAGTTTAAATAAAAGTTCTGATATCATCACTGATTCAAGGACAGCCCAAAACCTCCTGAAAACCAAAATCCAATGGTACATAAGTCACCCAACTGTCCTGTAACTATTTGTCCAGCTGTCTATAGGAAATGATGTCAATAAAAGGCTACTTGTTTACCATAGAATAATATTCAAACTGTGGTTAGATAATGAGAACACAGAATCCGGGGACATGGGGCAATTATACTACAAACATGAGCAAATTTTAACAGGTGTCTCCCCTGAAACAAACATTTTTAAATCAATATATTCTGTTTGCATAACAGCTCTTTTTTTGGGGTTTTGCCTCCCGAGTGCTGGGATTAAAGGCGTGCGTCACCAATGCCCTACTGCATAACAGCTCTTAAGAGAGCCAACACTGGGATTTTTTTCTTAAGATGAGAGTATTACCTGCCTTACAGAAGTAACGAGGTCCGGAGTGGACATGCAAACTTTCCTCTATTGCATGTCCCCTTCTAAATGATAACTTTTCTTGTTATCATTCATTCCATCTACTTAAGCAAGGGGTAATGGGAAGGCAGGGAATGGATGCAACCCTGTGAATACTACACAAGTACTACTATATCACTAACCTGCATAGCCAGGTCTTACTTTAGTTCTTGCTGTGCACAGGTGCATGCTCTAAGTTTAATGTGCAAAAACAAAACATTATGTCTGGAAATTTATTTGAAACTATCACTCAATGTACCTGGATGGCCCTTATTAAGACAAAGCATCTTTCTGTGTATGCCAGTGGCAACCAGTCTCAACATCAAATAGGAACTGTCTGCCCATTGTGTCCTGAGGATCAGGCTTTAAAAAAAATAAAAGCAGCCAGTAAGATGACTCAAGGAGTAAAGGCATTTGCCTACATGCCTGAACCTAGGCTCAATCTCTGGAATTCACATAAAGGTAGAAGGAGAGAAGTGACTCCACAAAAGCTGTCATCTAACCCTTGTACGTGCACTGTGGCACATGCATATACAAGTATAAAATTACAATACACCAAACCAAGCCCAGCATGATGGTAACATGTCTGATCCCAGCAAGTGAAAGGCTAGCCTCAAGTGCATAATGAGACCCTGTTTCAAAAGCCAAGACCATATAGCTCAAGGATATATTTCAGTTGTAAACCAAGCAGAAAACCCAGCACACAGGCAGAAGAGAAAGCATATCCACACATATCCACATTTGTTTTTGAGGCAGGGTCTCTCTTATGTAGCAATGGATGGCTATGACTTTTTGATCCTCCCACCCTATGTCTACAGTGCTGGCTGGCATTATAGGTGTGGATACCTACATTCTTCCTCTTTTTTTTTTTTTTTTCCGAGACAGGATTTGTCTGTGGCTTTGGAGGCTGTCCTGTAGACCAGGCTGGGCTTGAACTCAC